CAAGTCAGAATAAGAGCCAAGATGTCCGACTGGGTGAGAATGTACAGACTTCGATGCCGCAGCACAAGCAGGTTTCTCTCTAAAATGTGCTAGAGTGAGATGTTCCTCCCCAGAATTGTGTGAAGCTGCCATTCTCCACCCCAACAGTGTACTAACCCATCTTCCAGTCCATGATGGCTCCTTAGGACCTGTTTCCTGCTCCTGTCTCACTGCTATGAATCTACTATCTTTGGCCTTGGTATTTTATATTCCTGGCCTGACTACAGGTTCTTCATTGGCCTGCAGGTCTACTTAAATGTTATGCTTGGCTTCTACAAGTCCTCAGTTCTGGGTGAGCTGTGACTGAGGAGTCACTGGTAGTCTATATCTGGCAAAACAAAGACTGACTCCTCCTAACTGCAAATGTCCATCTTGATGCAGCACAGAGATAGGCCTAGGGCTGGTCTATGGCCTTGTCTGCTTTCCCAAAGTGTTTCCACCACTGGAGAATTAAATGAAAAAGATGAGCTATCCCTGACTGTGGCCCAGGTGCCTGCCTGGTGGCCTGAGTGAGGTTCCCACAGGGAATAACTACATAGACCTTTCTCATTCTAACCGAAATCTTGGGATCAAAGGCAGAAGAAACTGTCACATCTCTTTCTTTTAGAAATACCTGGTTCCTTTGCCTATTGTGAGATCACCTATTCTGTTTTCCTGCTACCTTCCTGGACACTCCTTAGTTTTTCTTCACCCAGCTTGGCCCTAGGTCATTTTCTTTCAGCACTATTAAATCTCTCCAGGAAATTTTGTCTGCTCCACAGCTTCACAATGCTATGACTTACAAATTTGTATAGCATATTAGTCAGGTTCTCCAAAGAAATAAAACCGGTAAAAGAGATAAACTCTTGTAATTTTCTCATGTTTAAATGTCCTAGGGTTAATGTAAAAGCTACCCCAAACTACATAAATATTTTGAAATAACAGGAATGCATTCCCTCATAATGGCTCAGATAGATGGATAGATAGATAGATAGATGATAGATAGATGGATGATGGGTAGATGGATAGATAGATACACAGAGATATGAAGCCCCTCTATCTGCTGTCTTCAAGCTTTCTGTCTTCAGACCCAGAAAACTGACAGTATAGTTCAAAAGCTAGAGAGGAGTCCAGCAAATGGTGCAGATTCTAAGCTGGGTCAAATATCTCAGAATCATTAGCACTGAGGGCAGGAGAGAATCAGCATCCCTGGTCAGTCTAGAAGTGCGAATCTGCCCTGCCTTGACCCTCTGCTCTAGGCAGGTCTTGAGTAGAGTGGGCGAATCTCACACTGAGAAGAACCATCTGCTTACTCTGCCAGTGTAGATGCTGATCCTCCCCAAACACCCCCTCACAGATATATCCAGACATGATGCTGACCATTTATCTGGGCAACTCAAGACCTAGTCAATTTGACACACAAAGTTAACTGTCCCAAATGGCATCTCTATATGTGGACTTCTTCTTGATCTACATACTCAACTCGCTATGCTGGCTGTCTGTTAGCATCTCTAAAATTTCTCATATTGGGCAAACCCAAAACTGAACTCCCTATTTCTCCCCAAGAACCCGACTAATACATTACTAATATGAACACCAGCATCCATCCAGCCCTGGAGCCAAGAACTCCAAGCCCATATTGCCTCTTCCATCTCCCTCTCCTCTCATTTTTGGTCTATTCACAAGCTTCATGACTTCTGAGTTTGCTCATTGCCTGTCTCTTCACTACCACTACTCAAGTCTAGAGAGTTAAATTAGTGCAATAATGAAAAAGTTAGTAAAAAACTAAAGGTTATTATATGCCAGGCAGACATTGTTATAAAACTTCATGTAAGTCATCTCTTCTAACTTGTATGTATTAGTTTGCTAGGACTGAAAGGAAATTGTGACAAACTACATGACTTAAAATAGCAAAGGAAGTTGTGATCTCTCTGCTGGTGCTATGCAAGGATCCATGCTTGTTTCGTCCGTTGTTGGGTGACTGCAGACACTTCTTGACTAATGGCAGCATCACTGCTGTCTCTGTGTCACCATCCAGTTTTCCCACTTAAAGCCCCACCCACTGAATTCAGGATAATCACCTCATATTGAGAGTCTTAAATTAATTCCATTCACATTCATAGGCTGCTATTTAACCCACTACCTCTGTAAGGTAACAGTAACTATTAGTGCTACAAGATACATGAGCTGATTAAGACTTAAAGAATTAATGGACTTACCCAAAGTCATATTTACATCCAAAAACCCAATTTAAATATTCTCTGAAAAGAGTAACAGTTTCAAGAAAAATTTCATTTGGATGTCAAATGAGAGTTCCTTAATCCAATTATTATTAGACTATCCTATACCCTAGGATGTATAATACACCAGGATTTCCACCAGATCTCCAACTTACTGAGGCCTCCACTACACTTTTGGTAACGTCTATTCACACATTACTTTCTTGGGAGCACCAGCAGGAGCCCTGAACCTGTCACATATTGCCTGGAATCAACTTTCCTCTGAAATCTGTGTGGAAGTCTGCATAAACTCATGACTCTTGTATTCCATACACCTGAAAAACTAGAACCTTATGAATGACTCCAAGGCTCTGCCATCAGAGTAGTAGCCAGGCCCCTGGACCATGACTACTGTCATGCTTGGGTGCCTGAGTGACAAACCATGACCAAATGAATCTCACAGAACCAGTTCCTTACATAGCTCTTCCGGAACATGAAACCCAAGTCTCTCTTCTTAAATGAAAGATGTGCACGTTTGCAGGCTGGGTCCACAGTGTTTGGGATCATACCGATTCATGAGCTGGTCTCAAGACATCTTTCTTCTCATCCCGTCTCAAAACACTTAGTTTCTTTTTAATGCCACTGATCTCTTTAGCATGTGTACTTCCTTGGGCCCCAACTCCATATGTGCTTCCTTTCTGATCAAACTACAAGTTTTTCAAATTTTCTTTTTTTTTTTGGTCTTAATTTTTCTATAAATCTAGCTAAAAGTATCTAGCAGTACCCATGCCACAGCATAAATGTTGCATCCCCTTGAAATTTCTTCTACCAGATTATTTAATTTTTTAAAAACTCTTTCATCTGTCTGTCTGTCTGTCTGTCTGTCTGTCTGTCTGTCTATCTATTTGGTACAGGGTCTCACTACATAGCTTGGACTCATAGTGATCCTCCTGCCTCAGCAACCCGAGCACTGGGATTACAGGCATGCACCACCACACCCAGTTTTGGTGGCCAGCAGTACTGGGGATTGAACGTGGGTCCTTCCACTTGCCCGGCAGGCATTTAGATCACCAAATGATCTCCACAGCCCTGATTCTTTAAATTCAGCCTCACACAAAGTTGATGGACATGAAGAAAATGGATCAAATGTTTTACCAAAATATATCAAATTCTTTACCAAAACGTAACATGAATGGCCTATAGTCTAATTTCCAATAGAGTACTTATTCCCAACTAAAACCCTATGAGCCTGGCCTTTACTCTTCACTTTCTTATCAGTATTCTGCTCTTCTGAGCCCTAACCAGAATCACTCATTATGAATGCTCTGCTTATAGATTCACGGATTTTTTTACCTGGCATCTCCAAATTTTTCCAAACTCCTACTGCAAGCCAGTTCTCCAAAGATTTCTAAGCCACATTGTCCTGTATAAACCTCCAATTGTCAGGTTCCAATATTCCATATTGATGAACTTTCCCCTCCCAACTTAAAGGAACAGAAATGTACTAGGTCTCAATAATTTCAGGGGTTTTAATCCATGGTCAGCTGGCTCCAAAACAGAAACTTTGTGGTAGAAGAGTGTAATGGGGGGAAGTTATTCAGCTGATGGCATCCAGGAAGCAGAGGGCAGGGGAAGTACCCAAGAGGAAGGGGCCAGGGACCAGAAAGACATAGTCACATGGTTATGCCCCTCGACCAACTTACTCCACTCTGCCCCCTCCTGCTAGCCCATTCAGCTATGAATTCATCAATATTCTAACTCTTCCAGGGCACTCGAAATCTAATCACTTCTCCAGGAATCTCCTAATCCACTGAAAGTGACGGTCAAAGTTAACTGGTTAGTCACTCATATTAAGTTATTTCCTAATAATAAGAGTGCATCTCCTTGACCTCTTATGTTGTTAAAAATAGTGTTGTGGAATGTATGTTAATTTCAAAGATTAAACAGAAGGTTGTCTAAGAAGACTAAAGTTTTCTAGGATGACCAGTTACAAAGGAGCTAGAGAAAAACATCTGGCCTCAGTCGAAGTGTTCTTACTTAGCATAAATATATAAAGCAGAAAATGAAAATTCAAAGCTAAAAATTAAGCCAACACTGCTCATGAAGTCAAATTATGATGAGAAATACATAAGAAATGATATTGCAAGCTACTTTATCTATACTAGAGATAAGAGACAAAGAAAAGAAAACACGTTTTAATTAAGCACTGGTAATAGCTTCTGGTACTTTGTTTTTAGTTAACCCAAACAGACAAAACTTGGTCACAAAATAGGCAAGGATGAGTTTCATCATGATGCAAGGTAATTCTCAGGTTGGAACCAACAGCATGCTTTGCTTTTGTTGTCTCCATTCCATGCCCACAACACTAAACATCAATATCAGTGCAGTTCGCCCTGTTACTTAATCACCATATTCTTCTCTAAGCAAACCATAGTATAAAACTACAGTAATCTTAAAGTACTTACATTTTGTTCTCATTTCATGTTGTTTTTAGTGATATCATAGTATAGTGGGTCATGTTACTGCTTGTTTCTAACCTTCATAACCCCAAAGCAGTTTGTGGAAATTGACTCTATCCTACCTTCTATAGCCAACTGAATTGATTTCATTTATACTTCTAAGCATATTGCTACTTTGTTTTAGTCTCTGTAAATAGGTACACTGACGTCAGCCCAATCATTTTTACTGACCTTGTGATCAGATGCAACATAATATCATAAAACAATTAAAAACTGCAATGATTAAAAGTTAACTCCAACTTACTGTTAATGCAGTTTCATATTCTTCAGCAGCCAAGTATGCTAAGCCCAAGTAATAGCAAGCTTCTCCTTCCATTTTTCTGTCACTTCCTACAGAAGATATGGAACTATTAGGACATAATAAAGAAATTGACTTCCCACAACAGAAGCTTTAGTTTTTAATACAGTAGAAATTTTTAAGGTATATAAATGAACTAATGATCACCAAAACCTAAACATGCACTGAAAACACAATTTATCTGGGTCCCAGATGTCAGCATAAATGTGTGTCATCAATATGCTTATGAGAGTTTTTTTCCTTATACACAAACTCAACAACATATCAAAAGACTTATACACCTTGATGAAATGAAATTTATCATAAAATTCATGACTGGTTCAACATATGCAAAGCAATCAATGTGCTATACAGTAGTAATAGAAAGATGGACAAAAAGCCCATGCTATCATCTCAGTAGCTGCAAAGTTTTAAAAACCCAAACTCCTTTCATTTGAAACTTCCTCAGCAAACTGACAGTGATACAAGGCAACTTCCTCAACCTGTTCATGGCTTTCTAAGAATATTCTTAGCTAGCATCAAGCATGGCAGAAGATTGCAAGTGTTCACCCTCAGCTCAGAAGGACAAGGAGGGTCCCTGAACTCACTTATACTTAGGACTGTATTGTGTTTGAGGTTCTTGTGAGAGGAATTAGGCAAGAGAAATGAAAGGCATCAGATTGGAAAGGAAGAAACTAAACCATATTTGCAGATGACATGATCTTTAGCACAGGAAAAGGGGGCATGTGAACACCTACAAGATGTTCTTGAAAGGAATTAAATGATGCTTAAGTAAATAGGTAGTTCATCCATTTCATTGATTGGAAACTTAATGTTAAAATGGAAATGTTTGCCAAATTGTTTGACAGAATCAATCCAAGACATCAAAATCCAAGCTGTCCTTTCTACAGAAATAAATAGAGTTAAAATTATTTGGAAATGCAGGTGATAAGAATAAGCAACACAACCTAGATAAAGACCGATGTTAGTAAACTCATTTCCCAATTTCAAAATTTATTTAAAAATTTACTTTTTCATACACACATACATCATTTGAAAATAGACAATAAACCTAAATATAATTTAAAATACAAAATTATTTTTTTAGTTTTATTAAAAATATTTTGTTTATTTATTTATTTGGTATAGGATCTTGCTATGAAGCTCAAACTCATAGTGATTCTCCTGTCTCAGCCTCCTTAATTCTGGGATTATAGGCGTGCACCACCACACTTGGTTTTAGTGACCTGCGAGGCACACCCTGGATTCCAGGCACAAAACAGAATGTGGTACTGGGGATCCCACCCAGGTACTTGCACTTGCCAGGCAAGCACTTAGACTGCTGAGCTGTTTCCTCAGGGATAAATCATTGAGTCCCTGGAATACTCAATCTTCTTATGCTCAAATATGTTGATATTGAATAGTATTAACATTCAGGGATGGCCAGATAGCTAGGCAAATTAAAGTGCCTGCTTAACTAGATAGAGGGACCAGGGTTTGATTCCCAGGGTGCTGTGCCAGCCTTGACCCCAAGGTGCGCTGAGATAGTGATTGAGACTGGGCGCGGTGGCACGTACCTATAATCCCTGTACTTGGGAGGCTGAAAACAGGAGAATCACTATGAATCCAATCTGTGCAGTGTGACCTTGTAGACCCTGTACTAAAATACATAACAAAAGAAAAAATAATAATATTAGCATTCAATATTGATTGAATATGATATTGAATGCACAAAATAGATTCATAGGACTTAATGCAAATTAAAAACCTATGCTTCACACAGTGGAGTATTGTTTGGCTATAAAAGGATAAATATGAGACTTCAATTGGTAAGTGGATGCACTAAAGACCATACTCTTTAGTGAAATATATCAGAATCACATGTGCAAACATCTTATTATCTCTTTAGTGTAAGAACCAGAAAGATGAAATGAAATCTGAAAGGTACAATAGATACTGAAAAAAGGGAATGAATCTATTCAAAAGGAAGGAATTACTGAGATAAAGAGAAAGACAGGAAAAGGAGTGGGGAAAGAGATATATCTGTGTATGTAACCAAGATGGTTTGGATAACTGCACTGTGGATTTCTGCTGGTCTATGGAAAAGAGCAGTTAATGCTTAATGTTAATGCTTAATTATTTTTGTTTGCTTTCTAGTCTTCTTTTTTATTTTTCTCTTGTCTTAATTTCTTGTAACTTTTTTCTTTCTTTTTCCAATTTTGCATGCATATATCTGGTAATCTGAAAAACTAATTTGAAGACAACACAATGTAATACAAAAACACTGTTGAATTCATATTATTTTGTTTAGTGAAATTTTGCCTCATTTCTAATTTTTTCTTTTATAGTACTATTCTGTACTCTTTTCTAAAACTATATATATATATATATATATATATATATATATATATATATATATATATATATATATATATATGATGAAAAATTTGTATCTGTAATACATAAAGAATTCTAAAAATTCGACTAGAAAACTCATAAGAAATGGGCAAGGAATCTGAATAGATAACTTGCTGCAAAGAAGATACATAAATGACCAGAGATTATGAGGCCACAGAGGAAAGTGATTGACAATGTGGAGTGTGCCTAAGGAGAATCACATGGAGAGAAAACATTCTCTCAGGCTTTCACAGAGAGCAAATTGGTCAAGCAATGGCCATGACTCATCCACATGACTGACACTGACAAAGGATCTACAAACTGTGGAACAGGGTTTCAGGATAAATCCTGAGGGGATTTGACTGACCTTTTCAGATACAGAAGTTACATTTCTTGTTACATATGTCTTGCTTTATCTTGGTCTTAACGATCCAGCAGAAAAGTATAAAAATGAAGTATAAAAAGTAAAGCCATATTAATATTAATGTGCTGAGCTGTAAAAGGCTCAAGCCAATAACTTCTGATATTGTCAGTCCTACAGATAACCCACTGCTATTATGGACTACTGAACTATATTGGATTATTTTGTTGAATTCACACACCTATAATATTTAAATGACAATGGAATACCCATCTCTGACAAAACTAAACAGAAAAAGGGGATACAAATGAGGGACCATTTAGTATCTGTATACACAAAATAGTTAAGATTGATATACAGCTACTTCCTCTTAATTCAATGAGAAGAAGGATTTGTACTAATAGTGTTTGGACAGGATATAGTGTCTGCATCTTGTACTATGAATAACTACTATGAGGACAACAATATGCAATGCATTAATTATTATAACTGTCTTACTAACCTGTTTTGAAACTGTCTCATTGCTATTTGTTTCTCAATAAAATTAATCAAAAAAATGACTAGAAAAAAATGTTCAGCATCATCTTGTACAGCAATTAACCACTAGGAAGAATGTATGCAATGTGTTAATTATTGAAACTGTCCTACCAATTTGATTTGAAACTGTCTCGTTGCTATTTGTTTATCAATAAAATTATGGAAAAAATGTTCAGCATCATCAGACTAAAGGGAAATGTAATCAAAACTATAGCGAGATACCATTTTGCACTTACTAAGATTATTATAACAAGAAGGACACAATTAACAAGGCCTAGAGAGGCAGTGGCCAAGTCGAAATCCTCTTACATTGCTGATGAAATGTTAAGTGGAGCTGCCCCACTGGTGAATTTAGCAGTTCCTCAATATGTGGAACAGTGAGTTATCATATAATCCAGCAATTTCATTTCTGGGTGTACACCGAAAAGCACTGAAGACTTGCAAAACAAAACTTCAGGGCAGCATTGTTCATCATAAATAAGGCAAGAAGTAGATAAAACTCAAATGGGCAGCAATTGGTGATTAGATAAAGAAATGTGCTAAAACCAAACATGAAATATTTGTTTTTAAAAGGGAATAAAGTCCTGATATGTGACACACAGTATCAGATAAATGAACTTTGAAAGCATGATGTTAAGTGAAAGCATATTTGGCTCAAAATGTATATGTACATCAAGGTGCTGTAGTAAACGAGTTGGCTTACGGGGGTCCAGGTACCTCTTAAACATCAAGCATACTGGTGTGGGAGGCACCCTTTTCTAGGCAGTCATCAGTCTGCCCCTTCAAGCCCTTTGATCAAAGTAGGAGACAATAGGAAGGGGCATTTTGCACCATAATATTTCATCTGCTGTAAAAGCTCTATAAAGTGTCAACAATGCTTAAATCTGTGTGCTTTCTCATCTGGAACATGTAGGGCTAAATGTTATTGGTTTTGAAAGCCATTAACAATTATCACAGCATAAGAAGCAATCCTCTCTTGTTTCTCTTATCAGCCCTTCAGAAGGGGAGAGATGCTTTCTGAAAGAAGACAGGTAGGTGACTCTGGCTGCTGCAAGAGACCTCAGTAACCTTCCTTTCTGTGTACATAACTTGCAAAAGTGAAATTAAAATAAAATGTCTTTTCCCAGTATACATTTGCTTACATTGAACATTTCCTTTAATTTTCCATGTGAATTGTTTGCTCCTGGAACTGATCTAACAGTTTATATTAGTGTTTATCCCTTCAGAGAAGGTACTAGATCATTTATTTAAAAGTAATTCATTTAATAAGATACCTCTTTCCAAAAGGGTGACTTCTGAAGAATGTTACAACTAATATTATTAAAAGAAATAACAGAGAAAATAAGCTGTCTGCTATTATATTTTAGGAAATTCAAATCACATCCAGAAAAATCAGTCTGTATGAGTAAGTCATGGGTTGCTTAATAAACCAATCAATTAATGACATTCATGCATTAATTAAATTTTAAGTGTGTAACTTCCTTTTAGTCATGAAAAAGCTATTAATAAGCTAGAACATGGGCATAAAATATCTATGCATTTCAAAAATTAAACACAAAATCTAGTTCAAAATTTTCCTCATATTTTATATGTACACAAATACCATAGAATATTGTGAACCGTTTTCACTAAAGTATCTTCCTGCTTTAAACATATGCATGAATCACCGAGAGATCTTGTTAATTTGAAGATTTTAATGTCGACTGTCTGGGGAGGGACAGAGGATGCTAACATTTTGCAACAGTTCCAGAGGATGCTGATGATTTTGCTCTACAAGCCACATTTTGAGAGGCAAAGGTCTAAGATATACTACAGTCCTATTTTTCTGTTACTGCTAAGTAAATATTTATATTTTTCTAATTACCTGACAACAGGAAATTTATATACACAATCTGTAACACATTCTCTCTCTCTCTCTCTCTCTCTCTCTCTCTCTCTCTCTCTCTCTCTCAACTTTTGCAGATGACCTTATCTTCTCATTGTAGATCCCTTGTTTTACAACACTACCCCAGTGGATTGTAATTTTGGAGATAAAGCTTTCAAGATATACTAATGGATTTCTTGTTGTCAGCACTAAGGCACCTCTGTTTCACACTGAAATTCAAGAGCTATATTGATGGCATTTGTCTTTGCATTTCATAGGAAATAATCACCCTAACACTTGATGATTTTTACTTGACTCTTGGGAGAAGCAGTGTCTGTCCATTAAAGCAAGCAGTGCGAGAGTGTTCTTTTCCACCCACCTTCTTTGGCTATTTCAGAAGCTTTTATTAGAATTTTGATGGCCTGTTTGTATTCTTTATTTTCCAGCATTTTGTCTGAGAGTAATCTGTATGTCCTCAGGAGGCTTTCGCAGGCCAACAAGTTGAGAACGCGGCCTGTCTCATCCTTCCATATCCGCCCCTGCGTCAATTGATGGAATGCTTCATAATGCTCAGCGGCCTCCAGAAGCTGACCTGAAGAATAACAGCCATTCATAAATATAAACCACAGCCCAGAACACATTTTCGAAAGTTTTGTGTGTGTCTTAGCTTTACTATTAAACAAGAAAACACCATAGAGTACAGTGCGAAATGTCTAAGGCTAAAAGGAGTCAAACTGGGGAAGGGACTCTCTCTAACTGGACCCCAGACTTGGCTTAATGCTAGCTAGATGTCTGGGAGAGGGGTGCACTTCAGCTAGGAGAGACTGACTGGCATTGTGTAGTTGGAGGTACTCGGAAAGCTAATTAATAGCAAGCATACTGATGAATACTTATTAAATATGTATTCAAGAAATTGCGCTGTATGTTTTCTATACACTTCACATTTAATTCTTGAAAGTCCTGTGGAATGGGACACCTGTGATCTCGCTTTACAAAAGAGAACCCTGAAACCTTTTGCTCAGTGCTGCATGCACACTGAGTGGTAGTGGCTCCAGGAAGTCACTTCACGACTCATGCACTCATACCTTGCCCCACAGTGCTTTTGAAAGAGACAGGAATTTCTTCATTTTGAGCAAGAATTTAAGTGTACTGAAAAAGAATGTATCTTTTACAAATTTCAAATCCAAATATTTTGGATCCTTAAACTGTTTCTCAAAGTTTGAGGAAGGCATTTGTGTACGTTCAGTTTTGAATAATTCACGCATAGTTTAATGATCCTTCTGGATTATACTGTCTATAATGGTCCAGAATGTACCTTCCCAAAGTAAAAGTCTGAATCAGCCTTAAGTCATTTCATTTTTTTTTTTAAGTTTATTTATTTATTTATTTTTGGTGGGACCAGGCATTGAACTCAGGCCCTTGCGCTTGCCAGGGAAGTGCTTATTCCACTGAGCCATCTCCCTGGCCCCTTAAAGGTTTTTTTTTTTTTTAATGTTTTTAGTACAGAGTCTGCAGAGTCTTACTACACAGATTAGATTCGTAGTGATCCTCCTGTTTTCAGCCTCCCAAGTGCTGGGATTATAGGCATGTACCACCATGCCCAGTCTCAGTCACTGTCTCAGTGCACCCCGGGGGCAGGCAAGCCTGGAATAGAACCCTGGCCCCGGTATCTGCTTAAGCAGGCACTTTAGTCTGTTGAGCTATCTGGCCAGCCCTCATTTCTTAAAATATGAGCTGACACAGTTTTTGAAAAGTGGTTTGTAGTTTGTGCTGTGGGTTATACTTGTTATTCGCCTTGTGCAAATGCTCAGTGTCCTGGATTGTAAATACTCTTTGATGGTATTGCAGTTTCATCTGGTTCAAACTGCAAAAAGTCTTATTGATATTCTGGGTATGATAATTATGAGTGAAGGCAGGTTTCAAGGTGGCAGCCTGTTCTAATCTTGGCTTCACCATGTTTTGCTTAGCCTGAGGCTTTCACTGCCCTCTAGGCTTAGCACTATCAGTGACTATGCAGAGAGCCATCATGAGAATGAGTGCATGTATGTTCAGTATCTTACAGAGTTAGTGCTCAGGAGACCCAGCTACTGCTATCAGTTTCTGTAGTAAGAATACTTCTAATAAATCTAAAAGTCAGTTGAAATACAATCACTATTTATATTCTTTAAACCTAATTTCCCAGGACTGGTGAGATAGCTCAACAGACTAAGTGCCTACTTAGGCAAGCTCAGGGACTGGGGTTCAATCCCTGGTGCCAAATGCTGCACTGGCCCCACCCCTGAGCATGCTGAGCTGGCCACAGTCAGGCATAGTGGTGCATGCCTGTAATCCCAGTGCTGGGGGGGCTGAAAACAGGAGGATCACTGAGTCCAAGCTGCGTAGTGAGACCTTGTACCAAATACATAAAAATAAAATAAAATAAATTTAATTTCCTTTTCCTGTGAAACAGACTTTCCTAAGTGATCAAACTAACCACTGCAGGTCATATTAGCTCAAATATATTTCCTTAAAGATGTTTCACTGGCTGGTAATGTAGGTTGGAGTTGCTATCATGATTATAAGGCGTAATTTCTACTTGGCACTGAATTTATTATGAGAATTAGCATTAAAGAATCCACACACAAATAACAGTAATACATTAAGAAAAAGACAACTGACAAGGGTGGATCACTAACAATCTGCAAAAATTCACTGCAGTTGGCTGGTCTCACTGTGCTACTCCCAATAGCATGCCAGTGAAGATAGCTACAGTGAAGATAGCTTGCCAGCAAATAAACCTACAGTGAGGAAAAACAGGTACTGAAGAATTGTTCATCAGCTTAGTTTATGAAGCTTTCACATAGAGAGGCTACATTTGATATTAAAGAAGCTATTGTGTTGCATGGACAGGTACTTATAATAAGTGAATATATTGGAACATATCAGAAAACATTTACGAAGAATCATCTCTGAGAAGCAAGATGATGGGTAAAAGATGGTTTCTTTTCTTGATTTGCTTTTCTTTTGGCATATTGACATTTTATAAGTTCCCTATTATCAAAATGTGCTTATATTAAAATAATAAATATACAACAGAAGTTATTGCAAAGAGAATATCGAGTCCCCCTTTTTATTTTGATACAAGTTCTCATGGCTGAAGTCCACTGCTCTAATCTATCTTTACTTTTAGTTGGCAATTATTTCTTTCCTCCTACAAAAGCAGGCTATAGTTTTTCATCCCTTTCCTATAGCACTTCTTTTTAGAAACACCTTCCTGTAAATACTCATGGCCCTCATTTTTTAAAATGAGAATGGACCACTGACATATAATGTGTGTTATGTTTCCTCTGTTAACTATATTTCTGCCTGCAAAGTATAGCTCTGTATCCCTGGAAAGATGTATGCAAGAGCTATTTTTTCTTCAGTAGCCATCTATTCATAAAGTATAGATACATACTTCTTGTGGGCAGTGTGGTTAGGGAACAGAAAATTGTGAGGTAACCAGGTAGTTCAAAAAAGGGGGGCAGAGACTATAAAGGAGAAGATGGTTCAGATAATTGAATTAATTAGCTTTAGATGTAAATTAGATATCATAGTGGAAAGAGTAATTGAGAACTGATATCCATACCAGCATTTTTTTCTAAAAAGGAGAGGTGGAAGGAACCATGGGATTGAAAGTGAGGAGGGTGGAGAGAGGTGTGGACACCATCTTTCTGTTCCCTATGGGTGACAGCTTCCTTGCTAAACCTTGTGGCTGTTAGGTTGCCTTGATGGGCTGCCTGAAGAAGAATGCAATAGCTACTGTGAAAGGCAACCTTGAAAAAAATGAAAAATAGTTTTTAATTGAATCTAATTTTCGCTGGAGTTGGGTCAGCATCAAAGGATTGATCAGCTCCTGATTATTGGTGAACATCCAGTTCTCAAAGTCTCTACTGGGGGGCCAGGGAGATAGCTCAATAGAGCAAGCGTTTACCTGCCAAGCACAGGTCCTGATTTCAATCTCCAGGACCACACATACAAAAAGGTCTCTACTGGAGGTCTTCTATATGGAAGAAATGGTGTGGTAGAAGAGATGAGGAATTCATCTTTCCTGAGAATGTATCTACTAGGTGGTGGTCGAAGCAGAAAGTTTCTTCCCCATACTTTATATTATTTGGGCTTACAAAACTTAAAAGATCAATACTTTTTTTCACAGAAGAGCAAGCCAATGCTTATAAGATTTAAAGACTCAAATATAGAAGCCAGACTTAAAATACATACAACTGGTTCTACCCTGCTACTCAACAAGCAAGACTCAGGAAGACTCAGGTAGTGTAAGTTATATTCTCTGCAGAGCTTAAAAATAAAGCTTGAGTTAATCATTCCTCATCTTTTCCATGGTTATGATTCTGTGACTGTACTCGGGCTGTCATAGGTTGCCTCTTATGAAAGCTCAGACACTAGTCCCCCAGGTGCTTCTGATGGTTCTTTCTGAAGGAGTCTGGTACCTAGGGAGCAACATCTGTGTTCCCTTCTTTCCTCTAAACAGTGTGGAGACATCTCCAGCCACCTGGGATTCCTTGGGTTTACACACTTAGTCATTCCTATTGGCCTGTACATTTTTTAAAATTAATTTTATTGAGAAGCAAATAATAATGAAACAGTTTCAAAACTGGATAGTAGGACAGTTTCAATAATTAATACATTGTATGCTGTTGTCTTCATAGTAGTTATTCATAGTACAAGATGCAGACATGACATCCTGTCCAAACACTATTAGTACAAATCTTACTTCTCATTGAATTAAGAGAAAGTAGCTGTATATCTATCCTAACTATTTTGTATATACAGATACAAAATGGTCCTTCATTTATACTCCCCTTTTTCATTTAGTTTTGTCAGAGATCGGTATTCCATTGCCTTTTAAATACTGTTGGTGTATGAATTCAGCAAAATAATCCAGTATAGTCCAGTAGTCATGGTGGGTTATACATAGGACTGTGCAGACCTCAAAAGTCATCTCTGAAATTGCTGGGCTCCAGACCTTGTTCCCTGCTCTAGCTGTGCTTTCTATCACCTGCTTTATTTTTTTTGCCATAATTTTATTGACAAACAGATAGCAATGAGACAGTTTCAAATCAAATTAGTAGGACAGTTTCAATAATTAACACATTGCATACTGTCTTCCTAGTGGTTATTTGTTATACAAGATGCAGACATGATATCCTATTTACAAACACTATTAGAAAAAATCCCTCTATTCATTGAATTAAGAGAATGTAGCTGTATATCTATCCTAAACATTTTGAATACAAAGATACAAAATGGTCATTCGTGTCTCCTTTTTTTGTTTAGTTCCATCATTTCAACATTATAGGTGTGTGAACTCAGCAAAATATCCCAAAATAGTACAGTAGCCTATAATAGTACTGGGTCTTCAGTATGACTGGCAATGTCAGAAGTTGTTGACCTGAGTCCCCTACAGCTCAACATAACAACATGGCTTTAGTTCTTATACTTTGTTTTTATACTTTTCTGCTGTATGGTTAAGACCAAGATAAAGCAAGACCTGTGTAACAGCCTGTACATTTTTTCACCACCTTGCCAAAGATGAGGTCAATGGGCTTCAGGTTG